AACATTTAACACTTTTCATTTAATATAAGTCAAAGTGCTATGCATGTCATATGGATGTTACTGAATATGTCACCAGTTCTTACAGCTGTTGCACAATTTTTGTAGCAAATAAGCCTAAATAAGAGAGAAGGCTATGTTCTGACAAAGGAACATATATAAAATATCAGTATCGGTTATCGGCCAAATAAGTTTTAACAAATCGGCATATCGGTCAGAAATCCAATATCGTGCAATCCCTAGTGAATATTGCCAATATTATTAATAAATATATTGTTATTCCTTACCTTTTATTCTCTTGAGTCTTGATTGGATTTCAGTTATTCACATGTTGAGCAGACTAACAGTACAAATGTGTCAGAAGCATCGCCACACTTTGCCGTTGAGCCTTGTAGACTCTACAAACTACTCAGCTTGGACAGATAGATGTTTTAAAAGCTGCTGTTACGTCCACTGATTTCCAGGGGTTCTTGTCTCCTCCTTTGCTTATTTACAGGCCTGCTGTCTCACCATGCTGCACACCTGGAATCACTTCCTCCTCATCAGTGGACCGCATAAAAGCTTCAGTAATCCAGCACCACACCCCTTTTCCCTTGGGCATTTCCACTTGGTTCTGAGCATTGTAGTGTGGTTGACTTTCAACTTAAAACTCTGTGTACAAAAAGTTTCAGCAACTCTGAGAAGATATTTGTGATCTTCTGTGAACGGTTCTATTTATGAACTTTTGCTTAGGTAGGAAATTTGGTCGGGGTTCTCTGCCATTTTATTTTAACTATGTTTTCTCCTGTTTTGTGGCCAGCCAGAGAACGTAGGAATTGTAGTTTTTGTTTTGTTAGATAAGAGGTCATTTTGTTTTCTAGTCAGAAGGGGCATTCTTGTTTTGGTTTTGGCCTTGAAGACCCTGAAGTTCATGGCTTCCCTTCTGTTCATTAATGCTCAAAACTATTAGAAGTATAAATTATTGTAATGCCAAACTGAGTTGTTTTTCAGTCATTAGCTTTACTTTTAGTTTACAATTTGTGTTACACCCTGTGCCTCTTAGACTCCAAGGGTTGTAACAGCTGCCCAGAAGAAAAAAAGGAAAGCCTGTAAGACATGACTGCAAAACTAGAAGCAAAGCACAGAGCTTCAGAGTTACAGCATGAATTATAGAGGCTGGGATCCTTCCTGGCCTATATCGTGAATATTAAATTCAAATTAGAAAAGGACCACAAACATTTAACGTGTGAATATACTGTGGATTCCCCTGGAGGCAGAAATAAAATATCGAGTCAGTTATTTATCCTACATTTTGTTAATAGCTAGTGCAAAATGAAAACAATATAGAAAACAGGTAGACCTCAAGATGGAGTTGTGTAACAAATGATGCCAAAGCACAACATGAGCAAATATTTTGTCAGCGAAAGATGATTTCGCAAAGACTAGAGGTTATGATGAGGTTGAAAATAAGAAATTGCTGAAGAGCAAAGGAAGCTGTTAATTATTTGCACGTTTAGTGGAAGTTGAGGACGATACAAGGAGTCTGAACGAATTGCGCTCACTTTGTGCAGCACAGCTGTCTAAAGAAGATAAAGATTTTATAAATCTCATGGCATCAAAAATGTGCAGTCTGAAATGTGATTTACACAGCACTCCTGTTAAGTAAAGCATACCCATTTACAAAAAGGTTTATTTTCTTTTTAAATGAATTGTTTAATGTTGTTATTGTTAGATGCATACAGACAAAATTCTACTTTGCGCTGAAAACACAAGTGTGATTTATACAGGTCCTTCTCAAAAAATTAGCATATTGTGATAAAGGTCATTATTTTCCATAATGTAATGATAAAAATTAAACTTTCATATATTTCAGATTCATTGCACACCAACTGAAATATTTCAGGTCTTTAATTGTTTTAATACTGATGATTATGTCATACAGCTCATGAAAACCCAAAATGCCTGTCCCAAAAAATTAGCATATCATGAAAAGGTTCTCTAAACAAGCTATTAACCTAACCATCTGAATCAATGACATAACTCTAAACACCTGCAAAAGATTTGTGAGGCTTTTAAAAATTCCCAGCCTTGTTCTTTACTCAAAACCGCAATCATGGGTAAGACTGCCGACCTGACTGCTGTCCAGAAGGCCATCATTGACACCCTCAAGCAAGAAGGTAAGACACAGAAAGAAATTGCTGAACGAATGAACGAATAGGCTGTTCCCAGAGTGCTGTATCAAGGCACCTCAGTGGGAAGTCTGTGGGAAGGGAAAATTGTGGAAGAAAACGCTGCACAACGAGAAGAGGTGACCGGACCCTGAGGAGGATTGTGGAGAAGGGCCGATTCCAGACCTTTGGGGACCTGCAGAAGCAGTGGACTGAGTCTGGAGTAGAAACATCCAGAGCCACCGTGCACAGGCGTGTGCAGGAAATGGGCTACAGGTGCTGCATTCCCCAGGTCAAGCCACTCTTGAACAAGCGACTGCGTCAGAAGCATCTCGCCTGGGACTGCTGCTGAGTGGTCCAAAGTTATGTTCTATGATTACAGTAAATTTTGCATTTGCTTTGGAAATCAAGGTCCCAGAGTCTGGAGGAAGACAGGAGACTCATAATTCACATTGCTTGAGGTCCAATGTCAAGTTTCCACAGTCACTGGGGTGTCATGTCAGCTGCTGGTGTTGGTCCACTGTGTTTTATCAAGCGCAGGGTCAATGCAGCTAGCTATCAGGAGATTTTGGAGCACTTCATGCTTCCATCTGCTGAAAAGCTTTATGGAGATGAAGATTTCATTTTTCAGCACGACCTGGCACCTGCTCACAGTGCCAAAACCACTGGTAAATGGTTTACTGACCATGGTATTACTGTGCTCAATTGGCCTGCCAACTCTCCTGACCTGAACCCCATAGAGAACCTGTGGGATATTGTGAAGAGAAAGTTGAGAGAAGCAAGACCCAACACTCTGGATGAGCTTAAGGCCGCTATCGAAGCATCCTGGGCCTCCATAACACCTCAGCAGTGCCACAGGCTGATTGCCTCCATGCCACGCCGCATTGAAGCAGTCATTCATGCAAAAGGATTCCCGACCAAGTATTGAGTGCATAACTGAACATGATTATTTGAAGGTTGGCGTTTTTTGTATTAAAAACACTTGTCTTTCATTGGTGGGATGAAATATGCTAATTTTTTGGGACAGGCGTTTTGGGTTTTCATGAGCTGTATGCCATAATCATCAGTATTAAAACAACTTAAGACCTGAAATATTTCAGTTGGTGTGCAATGAATCTGAAATATATGAAAGTTTCATTTTTATCATTACATTATGGAAAATAATGACCTTTATCACAATATGCTAATTTTTTGAGAAGGACCTGTACAGTATTTTTCAGTGACTCGATGAAATTACTTCCAGAACTTGTCCTTCATCATTTTGTTCACCTAAATTTAAAATGAGATATTTAGGTGGTTTTTTTTTTATTATTCATTTTTTGATTTTTCTCACGAGCAACGACTCTGTACCTGTTTGTTTTCATATTAAAAAAAGTCATATAGTCTCGTGTAGTACTCATGCAAGTTCTTCATTGGCATTGAATATGCTCTTTCAAACACTTCACATAAATCCCTTCATATAAACTTAACATACTTAATTTACAACAAAAATCTAAATTCATTAAAAAATTAAACTTCCTGTCCATTATATCTTATCTGACCTCATGAGTTGCTTGTTGTCATTAAAGGCCTGTAAAAGTCTTCACCTTCATTTCATCTCATCACTCATCATGTTTAACCGTCATCATTTTCATTTTGTATCATCGGACATTGTTCTTCACTGTCTCTGTGCTTGTGTTTATCTAAACCGTAAGATATGTTAAGAACCATTAAATGAGACTTTGAGTAAAGGATTATAAAATGCAACTGATTAACTAACTCAAGATGGCAGCTAATCAACATCAGCCAGCACAAAAATAGTTAAAACTGTCAGTTTATGAAAAATTAGGCTAAAAGTTGATGTGGTAGTAGCTGAGAGTCCTTCCTAACACATTCTCTGAGCATATCTCACTCCCATCACTTTATTTTCAAGGGTTGACCAAAACTGTAACTCCATTACTTCTCATCATAAGATGATGAAACATTAAAGTTTTTAACCGCTCCGTTTAAAAGCCGTGCACAACTCACCATCAAACCCTCAAAGAACGACTCACGCACTGAGATTCCTGCATGTTGTGTAACTGCACAGTCCTAAAGCAATCTAATGAATTCTAAATAAGTCAATCATGCCTCCTTATATCTCTCCAATTGAATGCACTCTGCCTTGAGATTAACTGGAGGGACCTTTTGCCAACTTCTGCTTGGAGATGTGCTAAATCACTTTGAGGCAGCAGTCTGGATGATGCTCAAAAGCAGGTCAGGAGCACTTAAAGGCAAGAGGCTTTGAAAAAAAAAAAACTGTTGCCACTTGAACGTTTAAAAAGATAAACTCATCTTTATCTCCAGTGTTACTCCATATTATTAGACCAGAGCTGTCTGTGTGACAAAGACAAGGACTTATGCTGTTGCTCAGATCCTTAAGCCTAACTGCAAATGTTTTTATTATTATTATTATTATTATTATTATTATTAGTGCTGCTGGTGCTTAAAGGACCCCCTCCTTCATCCAGGCAAATACTGTCAGAGCAGGACAGAAAATGTGAAAACATGGAGGGTGAAATGATTCCATGCAGCAGATGTTTAATCAGGTTTGTTGCTGCATGCAGCTCTGCTCTGACCCTGGCTGTACTCGTGCGACCATCATAAGAGTCGTGCACGCTGCAGTGTGGCGTAAAGAAACGAGTGGAGAAAAAAAAAAATCAATGAGCGCATCACATGACAGGAGGAGCAGAGGAAGGAGCTGCAGCACCATCACTGTCAAACTTGTCCCATTTATCCAGATCTCTTCCACCCAGCCCGCCTCACTGTCAGACCCCCACATTCACGCAGCATTCAGCCTTTTTATTATTATTGTTGTTTTTTTTAGCGTTTACTCACAGAATCGCTCTCGTCTTTACGCAGCCGCTCCTCCTCTCCCATCAGCATCACGGCGGTGGGGTCCACCACCAGCCTCTCGAAGCACGCCGAGCCGAGAGAGGAGCTCTTCTGCTGGTGGATCACCAGCTGGGACGCGAGGAGTTTGGGGCTTCCGTGGGCCGCCAGCTCGGGTTTGCTGCCCGTGGCCCCCGATGCCCCAATGTCGGAGCTCATCCCTCCGGCGGCCGCCTCGCCTCCTCCCGCGCACTTGTCCCCCTCGAAGCTTAAGTTCGGCTGCGACGATGAAAACACCCGGTCCAGTTGTTTCTTTTTCCTCTTGAACATCCACAGCCCGGACTCCTTCTTGGTGCCCTCCGCGCCCCCGGCGGCGCCGCGGCGCTCCGACCCCAGTTTGGGACTGAGCCACGGTTTGGTCTTCTCCTGGAAATTCTTCCACATCCGGCGCTGGTAAGACTCGTGTCTCCTGGCGGAGCCCTCAGCTTTGGGGGATTTTTGCTCCATGGTCCCTGTGCAGCAGCCGGCCAGCCTGAGCGCGCCGTGTGATGTGGTGCAGACTGTGCGTGCGCTCCCGCTGATGGGCAATTTACTGCCAAGAAGAAGAAGAAGGAGACGCGCACGGTGTCAAGAGGAGCGCTGCTGATCCGGAACCTTGAAAGGCTGCTGTGAAGTTTGCTCTCACTTCAGCCGTGAAGTTGGAGCACTTCTGAGGGAAAAACAAATAAATGTAAAGTTAAAAAAAAAAATTAAAAACCCTAAAATAAAACCGCTGCGCTCGGTTGTCTCGTCTCTCCTCTCGGCCTCCAACTACAAACTTGCACATTAATTGCTCGATTCTAATGAAGGACGAAGGGTTCACTGCGCCGCCCTCTGGCCAAAGCGCGCAACTCGACTGGATGACCTGATTTCATAACACAGGTCCCCCCGTGCCTCGTGGAGATGTCCATGATTCAGCTGTGGACCCTTGTTTGAGCTTATTGCTTTGTAGGTTGACACTGTGCACGTGTGCAAGGAGATTTACCTTAGACTCACTGATCCTAAAACAAATCCATCTGACCCAAAGTGTGAACCCTTCAAGGTTGAACAGATTGGCGGGGTCATGGTGCTGCAGATGACATATGCATATTGCTCCCCAGCAATTAGGTCAGACCACAACAAACCTTATCAACCCACGTGCAGCAGCAAGAAGGCAGCAGTAAACACACTCTTCTCATTTTATTTTGCTGCTGCACTGCTCTGATGTGCCTAATAACTCATTTTATCTCCCTCCTCCTCCAGCGAACAACGTCCCTCCCTGCACACACACACACATTCAGACAGGAAGAATGAATAAATGAATCACATAAATGTACACAAGAAAGGTCAGAACAGTTTTTTATTTTGTGGCTTTCATCAAAAGAAACTGCTGTTGCTGACAAACCAGTGTGAACGTCGAAATGACTGCTGAAATTTGCTGAAGAAGCTGAAACTGGGTTTTTAGAGCTAAAAGAAGCAGAAGTAGCTAAATGCTAAAAGAAGCAAAATCCCAAAAGTTGCAAAATGCTATAGCTAAAAGGGAAAAGGAGCTTGCTAAAATAACCCTAATCCTAAAATACTGTCGCAAAGAACTAAAACCTAAATATAGCAGGATAAAGCCTAAAAGTAGCATAATTCTATAGCTAAAACCTTAACTTTCCAGAATAAAAGGAGCAAAAAGCTAACTAAAAAATTAAAAGTAGCAAAATCTAACTAAAAGCTAAAAATAGCAAAAAGCTAGTTAAAAGCTAAAAGCAGCAAAAAGCTAATAAAAACTAAAATACAAGAAAACAAGCATCCTATCTGAAGCAGATTTCAGAAGAACAATGATTTTTGGATGATTTCAAGAAATATAAATATGTTTTTATGGGAAAATTTTTTGTAAGAAAGTTAAATATCCTGAAAATTACTAAAGTTACAAAAACTAAAACCATTTAAAGGATTTTCCACCTGTGATATCAGTAAAGTTAGAAACAGTGTTGAACTCATGAATGAGCTGAACATTTTGAAATATGAAATGGCTAAATTAGCACAAGGAAGCAGTTGTTGGATTGCATAGGCATACAAAAACGTTAAAATCTTTCATGTTAATGTTGTATCAGCATTCATATACATGTTTACTGATGTGATGTCATCTCTAGGGGTGAAGATGAAGGCCTGAGTGATACAGATGATGTCAGTAAATATTGCCTTGGCCTTCTTACTGTAACAGAATGATCAAGCCTCAGCAGCGTGGAATAATTTACACCCACACTGACTTTGGCCCTCAATCTCCTTGTTTTATTTCCTCTTTTTTCATTGCACTAAATAAGACTTGAGCAGCCCATAATAAAATTCTTCACATATCTCATCCTATACAAGTAAATACTTCAATTACAAAACCAGACAGTGATCTCCCAGGTTTAGTTAAGTAGATGGAGATGTGGGCATGCGAGCCAAGGAAGGCCTGTCAGCTGCCACAAGCCGTTCAATGAGCTCAGTATAGAAAACTGTTGAGTCTGTAGTATTTGTTATAAAGATCCAGGCTCTTGACTGCTGCATATACGTGCACACAGCAGAACAATAATCACCTTAAAAGCTTTAAATATTCTTTTTAACTGCATGCAGCTGTGTGTAGTTTCATTACATTAGACTTAGTGTTTGACACCATGGATCAGCATATGATTTGTTGTTTTTTTACACTGGTGATTGACCTGTGGTACCTTTTTGGATAATAGCTGCGGTCCTCCTTTATTTAAAAAAAAAGTGATCATTGTTTTTAATTGTCTCTTCCGGTGCTTCAAGGTATCAGACTGCAAAGATTAAAAATTAAAGGTTTAAACAAACAAAGTTGTTTGGATTGAACTTTTTTTGTTACTTGAATTTTTTTTCCAGTGACCTTATGCACTAAAAGTGTTTTATTTTTATTTATTTCATTCTGCAAAAGACATTAGGCAAACAACCTTTCTTTTCATCAGTGGTATTTGGGAATAATATCTTGTATGGTATTTGTATGGTATTTATGGTAAAATTTGTATGGTACTTGTATGGTATTTATCTTGTATTTGTATCTGGTATTTGGGAATAATAATAATCTTGGATTGGTTTTAAACAGGGGCAGCACGGTGGCGCAACTGGTAGAGCTGCTGCCTCTCAGCGAGCAGGTCCCTGGTTCAAACCCCAGTCCAGGGGCCTCTCTGGATGGAGTTTGCATGTTCTCTCCGTGCATGTGTGGGCTTTCTCCAGGTACTCCAGTTTCCTCCCACAGACCAAAAATGCATGTTAGGCTGATTGGTAACTCTAAATTGTCACTAGGTGTGAGTGAAAGAGTGAATGGTTGTTTGTCTCGTTTGTCTCTATGTGTCCCTGTGATGGACTTGCGACCCGTCCAGGGTGTACCCCGCCCCTCGCACAGTGATTGCTGAACATTGGCACCGGCAACCCCCGTGATCCAAAATGGAATAAGTGGGTAAAGAAAATGGATAGATGGTTTTAAACAGCTGTTTTGTAAATTTCAAATTTGTTCAACACTCAGTTACAAAGTTAGCATCTCCAGAGAAATATATTCAGAGAGTTAAGATCAATTGACAGGGACTGATTATTTGTTTCTAAAAATGTACGAGAGCTGAATTGGTGTGTATTTTGTAGCAAAAATAGCTGTTCTCGTGAAAATAGAACTGGTAAATGGTTTTAAACCCTTTATCTTTCCTTTTATCCACAGGAATGATGTGAAAAAAGGATTTATTTCCGCCATTTTGCATTTTTTTTATTACTTGAAAAACAAATGTGTTAAGAGATTTTTTTGTTTCTTTTGTTTCTTGTTTTTTTCCCACCTGCGCAATTTCACTAAAATTAGAAACCTATTGTCCCAAAAGGATGCAGAAATCTAGTCTATGCATTTATAATTTTGAGGCTGTACGACTGCAATTTTCTGTTGTTTTCAGGATGTCTGAAACATCTCATGAAGGCTTCTGCTGATAAATGCTGCTACTGGAGTTAGGAGAAAATTGATTTCTCCAGTTTTAGCATCTCTCCATTGGTTCACTGTCAAATTCAAAATAGATTTTTAAACAAAGCTTTCAACAACCAAGCTCCATCTTAGAATAGAGATCCTATTGTTCCATATTTTCCAAACAGAGAACTTTGCTCCCAGACTGCAGGTTTACTTGTGGTTCATAGAGTTTCTAAGCATAGAAATGGAGGTAGAGCTTTTCTCTCTTGTGGAACCAACTTCCAGTTTCTGTCCATGAGGCTGACCCTTGGTCTTATTTGAAGACTAAGCTCGTCTTTTCTTTTTAATGATAGTTAGGGTTGGCTTGGGTTTCCTGAGCTATCCCTTAGCTGTGCTGCTAAGCTGCTGCCGGACAAACTGACTTTACGATCTTCATGCTCCATGTTTGTATTTGTATTATTTATAACTTGCTGTCATTAACCTGTGTTTTCATTGTTGTTTTTGTTCCCATAGAAACTACACCTGGACCAACCCTGTGTTGTCTCTGTTCTCTCATGCTCTGTCCTCTGAGAGTCTATAGTCGAGGCACGAGGATGCTGATCCCAAGCCTGAGGCCTGTTGGAGATTTCTTCCTATTCAAAAGGAAGTCATTCCTTCTCACTGTCACCGACAGCACTCAATCAACTGTGCTTGCTCAGGAAAGGAAACTGCGACAAAATGAAGATTCATCGTAATCTGCTTGCTTCCTCAGATGAAAATTTTTACTAATTGGTACAGTGCTTTTCATAATGTCCTGCATGTGAATGTGTTGTTTTATAATTAGAAGACATTTGATGCTGGGTCTGTTTTGGACTGAACCAAATTCATGATTTGGATTTGTTTTCTTTTATATAGTGCCCTCAGATGACTTCTTGGCATGAATTGGCACTACACCATATAACTAAATAGAACTGAACTAAATTACTTGATGTAAAGTATTGCTGAACACATTTCTTTAGAACTACCACTGTGTTCACATAATCAGGCTTACATGTTTACCTTAATACACTTTGAATCAGAATAAGTTTTATTATAATTGTATCGAAATATAGTGGGATTATGTTTGTTGCAATAGAAGAAGCTTTTGTCTCTAGTTACCCATGTACCAGGAGAAATTTGATAGACAGCTCATATACAAGGAGAAACGAGGGAGTCAGATTCAGATAAGCTACAATTGTTGATTTTCTTCAGGCAGACACTTTTCTTGTCGGCCTCGAGTCCTGCTGGAACTTTCCGGTCCAAAATGGCCAAATGTATGGGTATCCACTCCACTGATCCGTGTTATGAGTCTTCTTCAAGGTCAATCCCAACATGCTGATGAGTCCAAGAAGCCGCAGGGGGCTTGTGATTCTCACAAATCGCCTCCACCTTATGGTTTAGCTCATAAATCAGCTGATTTTGAGTACTCATAGCATGAACCAAACATGACTCTGAAGCTTTGCCATGGCCGAAACTGCTGCCGAAGTCTTCTTCAAAAGTTGATAAAACAGAGCCCCACCGATACCAAAAAGCAGAACCCCTGCTATCATAAATCCAAATATATACACGTCCTCAGTGTCCTCCTGAGACAGGACTGAGAGGAACATCAGCTACCAAACTCCCCACAGATCTCTGACATACCCCGCAGCATGAGTCTCAGCCAGACATGAGGGTTCTCCAGGACCCTGTCGTTTTGTTGAAAAGATTTTGTTGATTGTATTGAAAGTCCAGCTCGTCAGATCCATGATCATATTTTTCGTTCAGGCGATGTGTACCAGGAGCTTCTGCTCTCCACATGGAGAGCAGAAGCAGGAGAAAGAGGAGAACAGCGGGAGGGAGAGCAGGAGTGTCTGCCTTGATCAAGAGCCAGAGTAGGAGGGGGAAAAAACATAATGATCAAAAAATTGTCAGTTGATTTTCACAACAACAGTGATAATATATGAACGCATATGAATAAAACAGGGGTGTCCTGTCCCGGTTTTCATATGCGGGACAAAACTATCCAGATGAAAGGACTGGTGGGCCACAAAAATGTGAATTTACCTCGCAACATGTGCAATATTTTGGAGAAAAGACCAGTTTAATAATTTTTCTGGGGAAAGAGTTTTAAATTGTTATAGATCCAAAATGTTTAAAGCCTCATAAACACAAAGCTTATATATTTTTATTAAAAAGGATTTGATTTATTTTATTCGTTGGGTCTATGTTTGTTGTTTTCTTGTGTTTGCAAAGTTCATTTTAGTCTGTTCTCAGCAACAAAAGTGTAATTTGAGTAAGAGTTTTTTTTAAAGGGGGGTCGATCAGCCTTTTGGACCATGGACGGCCCAAAAGGCTGATCGAAGTTCTGGAAAAATGTCCAGCTGTCAGTCGCTACAACAGATTCTAAGAAGGTTCGATAAAATTGATCAACTCATCTGTAGATGATACCACGTTTTATTCATTTAAAAATGTCTAATTTACTTCTTGATTCAACAATGTTCAATCAGGTCATTTGGACAGTTTTTTGTTGTTGTTGTTGTTGAGACGTTTCGCCCTCCATCCGAAGGGCTTCATCCGTCTGAAAAGTCCCAAACAAAAGTGTTTTCCCCATTAAGCAGTACACTCCCACAGTGGACCAGCCAGTTTGCTGGCAACAAGATGGTTTCTGGTGGCTGTCCTCTCCCTGTCGACTCCGCCCTAGCTGCCACAGCCAGAGTGGTTCAAGACTTCAAGGTTCATGCTCAATAATCCAGGTAAAACGGATGCACAGATGACCTGATTGAACATTGTTGGATGTTTTACCTGGATTATTGAGCATGAACCTTGTTCCGTCTTGATTATTTTAATCAACTGCAATATTTAGCCAAGTTTTATGAATCATTATCCAAAAGTCTCCTTTCTGGTAGAAATCAGTAAAGGTTTTTGGTGCTTTGTACCATGAAGCGAACATAAGAAGATTATAGCCAAAAGTTTGTATTTTGCTTAATATTGTTCATTTTGAGAAAATTGTTTTTCATCTCTTTTGCTGTTAAACCTAAATATTATATAAAAAAGGATTGCCAACAAATTTGCAGAAAGTTTGCATCAACTGCTTAAGCCTGCAGATAAAATAATACCATTGTTAACCAGCAGTTGTGGACCACACAAAATCACTGCAAGGGCCACACTTTGGACACCCGTGGAATAAAAGGTCTCATATTGTAGAATATCCAAAGCTTAGTGGCAAAGAATGATATCAACTAAGAGATATTTACAGCTCTTATAGGAGCCAAAACAGGTCACTTGTCTGGATAAATAATTTGCATTTCATAGTTTTGTTTATTTCAGCAACCCAAACTTTTATAATGTATGTATTATAATTGTTTAATTGGGTCACAAGTTCAGCTCTATGTGATAAGTTTTCCTTCAAGCAGTTAAGGGGACTGAAATGCAGTTGAGAACCTTTTAGACGCAGCTCTGAATCACGTTGATTTATTCGACACAATGTAGCTTCAGGCTCAATGGTTCAGACTCAGCACGTACCGAGACACAAAGCAAAGAGCACGCAAACCATGGGAAACCCTTCATTCAGCCTTCATCGTCCATATAACTGAATGAACGTTGAAGTAATCTGTAAAAATAATTCTGCTGGAGGATTGTAGCCACCATCGCACACTGTCAAACAGCTTAGCATCGACTCACAGGTATGAGTCGATATCAGTGTTGTCAAAACGTGCACTAAAATATTGCCCTAATGTCAGTTGTAATCAATGTTTTGAACGCATTGCTTCTCTGTGCATGTTATTTGCTTCCCTCTGCTCTCCTCATCCCGTTTGATGTGCAGAACATCTGCACACGGCCATGCCCACAAACTCCCAGCTGATTTGATTACACCTGAAAGAATGGTGCAGTGTATGACTAAAGCTGGCTCGACTTCTCAGCACAGCTCATTCACATTTTACCTGTATGAGCAAAAAATAAAAAAGATAACCACAAAGCATGATTAAACAGCTGCTGTTTGAGTTATGTATTAATCAGCGTTTATGTTTTCAACTAGCCGTCAGAAGCTCAAATGCAGGTAAATCTTACTAATGAATCACTTGTGAGCCAGTTTGGAATTACATGACTGATAATCTGCTAAAACGGAGCAACAAAATGAAACACTCAGCTTTGCTACTTTGCAAATCGACCATTAACACGATTAGAGGCCATCATTATCTAAAATATCACAACAGTGCTGATTCATTCAGCGTATGATGAAGTAATAAGCCCAGCTGAAGTGGATATTCAGCTATAATTACATGAATGTTGCATCACACAGTGTTTGCTCCCATTTTAAACACGTTATTGTGCACGTGTAATTATAAATTCCTCAAATGCTTATTTAATGCTGCAGAAAAACATCAAATATTTGTATCTGTGGCAGTGAAATATGGGAAGAAAAAAAAAACCACTGCCAACTCGGCACTTTAAGTATAGCTCTGTCAGATCCAAGTCAAATACTGACAGATTAATCTTGACAATTGGCTACAAAATGTTCTAATTAGATATCAGATAAGATGTGCTTTTCCCCCTACAAGACAATGGAGAGACACAGTGGGGAACTGTTCTATCTGAAACCTTTCTTGCTGTTTAAAACCCCAAACAAGCATGGCTGCCTTTGAAAAGACCTGAATAAGCAGTCTGATGCAGAAACTATAATGGGTATGACAAATACAGAACAAAAACATTATTTACATGGATTACATAGTAAAAAGTACTTTTTATTAGATTTGATCAGCACAGCTTAAATTATGAGATTGATGAGCAGAAACTTCAAACCATTTTCTTGTGAACTCCCTGGTTCACTGCAGGCCTGCCTTCTAACAGCAATGACTGTCTGACACCAACAAATGAGCTGATTTATAGTCCAATAAAAAGCTAAAGAAAAAACAGCTCCTCTGGTTAATGAGCTTTTGCATGCTAAAGATAAATAATGGAGGAAAGGACGAGTGGTTTTGATCAACTTTAGTGGTCAGTGCAGAAAAATAGCATCCTGCAGGGAAATAACCCAAATTTACTGCAGGTATCTCAGTGACTGGGTGTTGCATCATCAACAGAAATATTAGATTAAGAAAAAGATGAGAAAAAGAATGCTTCGAAGAGCCATTGGAGGCATCTTAAATCAATAAAGGAAGGAAGCTCTACAAAACTATTGATGTTTTCACCGGCCTATATGTAATATGTAAATGTATAACATCTTTGTTGCTTTGCTGTGGTAGGTTCTTTTGATGCCTCAAATCGTGCCCCGTCTAGGACACGGCGTGAGAGATTTTTAATTTTTTTTATACCGTCTTTCCTCACGTTCTTTCCTTTTCTCATCCAAGCAAAATATTATTCTGAATAAGAATAAGAGGGCCGCACTATTTAATAGCCGCATCTTCGTGCACTCCGCCCATCTTTCGGACGTTTGTACATACATATTCTCGTTGCATCTCGGTGCAATGCCAATAAAGTTTATTCCGATTCTGATAAGGGTCATGACAGTTCATGTTTATTACTTCATCTGTGCTAACTTTGTATGGCAGAAGTTCTCCTATATTTGTTTTTATGTGTTTATTTAGTGCAGTAATTCTGACATTTGAGTGCGTCAGAGCAGAATCCTGTAATGTCTTCAGCACCACTACAGGTATAAGCTTAAGCTTTATGTTGCCAAATGATGGGGGGTGTAAAGGTCATGGATGTGTAGCAATAACAAAGGGCTAAAATGGAGGAAGGGTGACACTTTCTCCACTTCCCTCCACTACATTTGTTTTATCCATTTAGCTCCCGTTATAGTGGGGCACCAGCTGGTCAGTTTACTGACCAACAACAACTTAATCAATATATTCACCCTTTAAAAAATCAGAATCAGTCACTGAAGTAGAATCCGTTAATTACAGGGAGTTCTATACCATAATAAATTAAAATTCATCCAAATGTAGAGACCAAAGTTGTATTTGAAGTTTTATTGTAAAAATAATCAAAGTAAAAAATCAACAATAATAAACAAAACAATAATAATGAATCAATCAAGGCTTAATTCTCATCTAAGGCAAAATTGACTGAGCAGGAATTATTTCAGTTTCATACGCGTATGAATTTAGACAAAGTTTGGCTATTTTAATAAATAGTTTACTTTGTATTTTGGTTAAAAGAAGTTATTTAATCTGATCAGATAAAGTCATTTATCATCACTACAAGCCAGGAAATTTACCAAGTTACATCAGCTAAAATAGCATAACCAGACCAAGAGTTGCATCATGTCACCAGGTTTTGCTTCTTACCGGGTCAGTGTTGAAGGCACCAGGTCACTCGTCTTTCTGGGGTTCTCTGGTGGATCAGACCAGGATACACCATGAGGAAGACTCGCCGGGAACTGCCCCAGGTAGCCGACAGCTTCATGGGTCTGTGAGAGCAACAGCTGACAGAAGGTGCACCGTCAGCACCTTCTGTCAGCTTGGACTTCAAGCCGAGAATGTGAGTCTTGCAGTGAGAAAAGGCTTCATCTTCTCAGTTATTTAACTTCTAACAAGTGTAAATGAGCGACATGTTTGTCTGCTCAGGAACTGAACGAGTGGACCTCGGGACGACCACCAGGCTCGGGTCCAAAGACAAACCACTTTCCGGTTCGGGAGTCCAAAACGAACTGCCTTTCTTTCACACAAAGAATCTTTGTGCAAAACAACAGCTCTGAGAAGATTGTTTCGACTACTCTCAGGAATATTGTGACTTCCCCCCTGAAGCAAACCGCTCCAGCTCAAAGAGCTTTTAGCACAGGTGTCTCTGAAGGAATAATCATTCTCTGAAACAGGAGGAAGAAATATTGTTCACATTATAATTTTTCACATTATTTCATCATAACGATTGAAAACATCAAAATTATTCATGTTCATACTTTTCATTCATTCAAACTTTAGACAGGTTAATCCTTGTTAATCAAATTAATCAAACCATGAATTATTTATTTTTCTTTCTTAGAGACATAGGAAAAATAAGGTAAACATATGTCAGTCTTTAGCTGACTCTGTGTCCAAGGATGGGAAATGTGTGGAAAAACAGACATTATTGAAGTCAGAGGAAACTAAAGAAAACGATTCATGGCAAGTCTGGAGGATGAATAAGGGTCAGGGGTCATAGAGTATCTTGGTCGACTCACATCTCTCTTTTAAGCTCCACGTGGAAAATTTGGTAAAGAAAATGAAAGTTAAACTGGGTTTCTTTTTCAGAAACAGATCCTGTCTAACCCTAAATGCTAGGAAACGCCTTGTATCTGTGACCTTCCTTCCCTCCATTGATTACGATGACATTATTTACATGAACGCTCTTACAAGAACCCTGCAGATGTTGGATGCTGTCTATCATGGTGCACTAAGATTCATAACGGGCTGTGATTATCGTACCCACCACTGCACCCTGTATTCACTGGTTAACTGGACATCATTAACATCACAGACTCTCTCACTGGTACATTTTCATCTTTAAATCACTTCTTGTCTGCTGCCTTCATACATCTCCTCCCACATGTCTCTGCATGAGTGCAGCTACAGCGTGCGCTCTCAGGACATTATTACCTGCAGTGTTCCCTCAGTGAGGACTGAACTAGGCAAACGGGCCTTCTCCTACTCCGCTCCTGGAATATCTTACAAAAAGATTTGAAGCTCTCGACCTTGACCTCTAAGTAGCTTTAAGAATCTGTTAGGGTGCATTCACACCAGCCCTGTTTAGTCCGCTTTAATCGAACTCTAGCTCGTTTTCCTAGAAAGTCCAGTTCGTTTGGGAAGGTGTGAAAGCGCCATCGAACTCTGTCACGGAACAAAAAGGCAAACTCTGGCCAAGGCTAAAACCTAGGTCTCGGTCCGGTAGAAGCGAACTCCGGCGCGGTTCAAGTACAGGGAGAATGTAAACAGACTGGGCCCCGCTCCGCAGGGTAAACAAACACGCATTTCTCTGACCTTATATGGAGCCGTCAGCTGTCTTGTGTGAAAAACAATATTCTCCAGGGTCTTCTGTCTCATCTTCTGCTCATGCTAAGTCCATTTTTAAAAAATGACAAAATATAACTCCTAAAACTGCTAAAACTTGATGCCACTTCGTTTTTATTTTTATTTACAGAAGAAGAAGACGTGTCTTTAGAGGTTTGTGTGTCGTTTCTTTCAGTAGTTCTTGCTGCAGCGCCCCCTCAGGTGAGCGGGGGAATAGGTTGGTTCAACAGGTTGACTCGACTGCACAGTGCAGTGTGAATGCAAACGCACCAGCTCAAATGTAAACAAAAGCTCATGAATATTGGTCCCGAACTGAACCGAGTCTACCGGACTATCTGGTGTGAAAACGACCTTATACAGGACTTTCTAGGAAAACGAGCTAGAGTTCGATTAAAGCGGACTAAACAGGGCTGGTGTGAATGCACCCTTAGACTTCTGGCAGGGACCAATGCAGACATGTTCCTGTTTTTAGGTTTTTTTTACATTCGCCTTATAATCTAGCCGTTTTGTTGTTTTTTTAGCCATCCTATTTGTTTAAAAAAAAAAAAAACTGGAGTATGACTTTTTATAACAGTTTATTGTTGTTGCTGTTGTCCATTTTTGTCATCGTTTTTTTGTTGAAATCAGGTCTCTCTTGTAAATGAGTCCTCGAGGCTCAATGGGATTTACTTGTCTAAATAAAAAGGTTGAATGAATGAATAGAGCAGTGCAGATTCATGCTACATACGTTTTTCCACTCACTAATGTCAAATGTTATAGAACCATGGTACTGAGTTAGAGTTGTCTGACCGAAGTGGAGCCTGCACACCTGATAAACTTCAAGGCCCCTAAGCTGGAAAACAGAGTTTGTGTTGACCTCACCTTTTCTGATAAGCGTTATAAGTTTATGTTCCTTTATGCTGTCTGCGAGCAGACCTTGGAGACATGTAACATCTTGAATGTTTGTCTTTTCAATTGCTGCTCCTCTTGCAAGATTAAACCTGGGTGATAAAGATCTAGTTTCCTTGTCTGGCTTAATTATTTAATGAGTTGATGATAGGATAATTAAATTTATACAACACCAAATTCATTCAACCTTTATTTAGCCAGGTAAATCCCATTGAGCCTCGAGGACTCTTACGAGACCTGATTTACAAATACAAATTTACAAATACAAATTAAGAGGATTTTTACTTTGTGTTCTTCTCCTATATTGACTGTCATTTTAGTTGTAAATTGGTGCTAAAATCACTTAAAGTGAATAGAAATTATTTTTTGTTGCCGTTAGTGCATTGTCTCATTTTTGCACATTTCAGACTCAGTGTTCATCAGCACATTTTCTGCCAGTTGTTAACACATCAGCCAGTTAATGCGTCAAAATTTGGGATTTACCTGATTATTTACGCGTTTGCTTTCTTGCTCAGCATGTTGACCTACTAGTAATCTTCACAACTATTGGATGAATTCACAACAGAAATGATGCATACATTTTTTTCTGCGCGAATGGAAAGTACATCCTGATTAGATGATGCAACTACTTTGTAGTTTTAATCAGCATCACCAGTAGATCAGCTTCCACAGGCAAATCTCTACATCTACTGAGCAAATTATTACTGTGGGTTTATTCCTTACTGGCATAGGTTTAGCTCAAGGAAAGAGTTGGTCTAAATTCAGCCTCCAGGACTCAATGTGATGTGATTCAGTCATACCAAACAGCAAGTTGACCCTCCCCATCACTGTAAATATGTCTCACAATAAAGGGTCGTTGCAGAGGAGCTGACATTGTTAAGAGCTCCTACATGCATTTTTAGATTTTCTAAATAATCTTAACATTTAGCAAAGAGAATCTTACCTTGTTCAAGCTGAAGGTCTTATCTGGACTAGTGATGGCGTCAGCTTCAGTTCAGTGCTCAGAGGGACGTCAGCCTCACCGTCTGAACATCACGGAGCCCTTTGGAAGACAGAAAATCTCTGAACTTGTTTTGTTCATCAAACTTGTTGCAGTTTTATTGGCTCAAGACTTTGCCATGATGTTTCTGTGAGCTTTCTTTATTCCTACAAAGATGTTTGTCTTAAAACATCAAGGAAAAGGTTAGTTTGTCTTTAGCATATTTTTGTTCTCGTTTTATTCACATTTACTGTCAAATTATATTCAGCAATACTTTTACATCTTTTAAATACAGCCTCATAAAACCTGAAATCTATCTGAGTGAACAACAAAGTCCATGGTCATTAATCCAGGTATACCAAACATTTCAGTCAGCTCATTTGGACAGTTTTTTTTTTTTTTTTTGGTATGGTTTTTTTTTGGGGGGGGGGGGGGGGGGTTGGGGGGCAGTTTTTTGTGCGGAAACGTTTTAGTACAAAACACAAAAACAAACAAAAACAAAAAAACTGTCCAGATGACCTGACTGAAAAATGTTGGGTATCTGAGTGAAATTACAAATTTTGCATTTTCCTTAAAATTTTATTTCTAAATATTTGAAATCAATAGAAACATTAAATAAAAGCATTTGAGAACTTAAAACCAACACCACTATCACTTTTAAAGGTTGATCAGTTTTGTGGTTGTAGTTTGTTATTCGTTTCAAATCACTTGCCACTGATCTCATGCTGCATTCACACCCAGCTGCTCACTACAGACTCATGTTTGGGCTGCTGTTTAAAATACCATATTATTTTACATTAGTGTTTAACAATCATCTTAGAGCTTTTGGCTTATCATTTAGTGCATCTTGGATCCTTATATATCGTTTTTCTTTATAATCTATATTTTTGCCATTTTGGGTGCAACTGGTATCTTGAGAACACAATTTCATTCCACCTCATGTGATTCAAATGACAAGAAACTTGAACTTGCTGTGTTTTGGAAAAATACTTCAAAAATTTATTTATCCGTATTAGTTTTGTAAATGTGCAGATATCCCTATTTCCATTAACTGCTGCCCCCCTTCAGTCATAAATGATACTCTCACTGTGTGTCATTTGACTTTATTCAAAATTAGGGACATGTTTTGGAAATGCATCAACTGCACCTTGTAAGTCCTGGCTCCCGATGCAAATTAACCATACAACACCACAAGGAATGCATTTTGCAGTTAATTCCAAAAAAGGATGACTGGTTCTTTGGGTGCAAACTGGTACAAGGTCTTAAAAAGACTCAGATACTTAGACTTACCATGCCACTCAACACACAAATGCATGCATACTGATTCAACCAATGCTCAGCTCGATAAGGTGGTATATCACTGTGATGACAGCACGTTAGCTGTGGACCAGTATCCGAGGGTGTGCCATAAAAATAAATGAAAATGCAGAGAAGTAGGTCGCTGCCATAACTCCTAGGTTTGACGGGACGCGGGAGGTCGCCCATTCAACTTAACTCAGCAGAGAGCACAAGGGGTAAAGGTCAGAAAAAAACACAACATCTGAACAATATGAATTTACATGCTTTCCCAGCACTTGCATCTCCTTTAAAACAATCTCCAAAGAGGGAAACGAGACCCTGATGACTCTCAGCTCTTCTTACTACATTGTAGAGTCCTCTTGTTGGTCAGTCACGTTGCAGCTGGCATAACGAGATGTGATGCAGTTTGTCAGGACGCCCTCAATCAGTAGTTCTCCTGTATGATGACCGAGGGGGAAGGATTCTCACACAGCAGCCTCCTGAAGAAGAGCTTTCTCTGCTGAACTTCCTTCATCAAGATGGTCCTGAGACTCATGTCATGTGAGACTATTTGTGACGTAGAACCCCCTAAAATATGATGCAGCTTTTAATGTTGAGGGGCTGATAAGACTGAATGTGTCCACATTAACTGCTTCACCTCTGCGAGGCGTTTCATGCCATGCTTCATAGTTTCTGAATAATTACCACACAGTTCGATTCGAATCCCTGATAATCAATTAACTTTCAGTTTTTCTGTTATTGGGTTGCCACTGATTTTTGTTTCCCTTCACACATTTTTTTGTCTAGTATGTTTGTAGCTAAGAATCTGGCAGTAAAATAAGTCAATATAAAATTATTTCTCGAGCTAAGAACTGAGTGAAACTGAGCGGGATCTGCAATTTAAAGTAATAATTTAGAAAACACGTTGACTGAAGTAGCTGGAAATTAAATACTAAATTAGTTAAAGTTCTACCTCCAAGGATGCCCTGCTAATTAAGTAACATTTTCTTAGGACAATTACTTTTAAATCTGAAAAGTGTCCCTGATGTTGATCTCTGAAGGGAATTCTCCTGCATCTTGTTTCTTTCAGTTGTTTTCAGGGTATTTTTTGCAGGTAGTCAAATGAGCTTTTTTTTAATAAAAAATTAAAAAAAATAAAATAAAAAGGAGCAAACAGACATTAAAAAAGTGAAGAACAGTTAGTGACTCACACTGAGCGAGAAGTCAACAGCTCCACTCGCAAGATAACAGTAGAGAAGAAAAAAGTGAAAATTATATCAGTTCAATACAAATCCTGAATGACTAAGTTTTGTTTAAGAATTGTTACCTGATGTTGTATATGTTCTAGAATTGCACCACTCAATGTGGCTGCATGTTGGAGCAGTTCTGTTACTTTCATTCTGAGATTTTGCTTTTGGAAAAATTAATTCCTCTTTTTCTGGATTTAAATCACATTTTTGGGATGATTGTTTCCTCTGGTATCAGATGCTGTGCAGCTGGAAGGATTTTTACCAAAACTTTTAGTTTTGGACTTTTGTTATGATGCGTAACTATGGCAACAAGGCAGTTTTCTACAACCAGCAACTGATTAACATCTTAAAAGCTCAAATAATATCTCAACTACAGTCCCAAATCTTAATGAGTTGAAAGGATGTTCTGTGGACGCATTCTCATCTACCTGCCAGCTGCGCTCGAGTGCCTGACCACTGAGATCCTGGAACTAGCAGGAATCACGGCTCATTACAGCAGAAGGACAGGATTGTCCCTCAGCACCTACAGTTGGCTGTTCGCAGTGACGAGGAGCTCGGCAGACTGCTGGGAGGAGTGGCCATCGCTCTGGGAGGAGTTCTGCCCGGCATTCAGGCGTTCTTACAGCCCGGTGGAACTGAGAGGCCAGCCGAGTCTGGGTGGACGGCATCTGCAGCCAGTTTATTAGGATCCACTGTGGGATGGACCTTTACAAGAGATCCTTCCTGTCTAGCCATCAGTATCTATAACATTTCTTAATGAAATGAGGATAACGAGTTACAACAACAAATAATTTCCCTTTGGGATTAATAAAGTATTTTTGAATTGAATTTAATATTGAACAGATTATTCTAAGAATTCACCCAGGCACTAAAGAGAAATAATAAAAATGTACAATACGTACAGCAGGTTTTCTGAGCGGTGGCACTTTATTTTCAGTATAACGCGGTAACTAAAAACATCAAATATTTTCCAACAAGACTGTGTAGGGCACATCACAGATTAAATTAATGGCCCAGCACCCAGTATTGTGTCACCTGCTGCTTTTCAAGCAACAATTTAAAACTAAGATCATCTTGTGCTGAAAAATTATTGATTTTGTTATCATGATCTGACCAAACGTGTTTGAACCCAAAGTGCAGGAAGACGAGGAGACTCCAATAAAATAAGAAAAATGTTTAAATGCTGACGGGGCAACTAACTTACTTTTAAAAAGGAGGACATGAAGGGGCAACAGATCATGAAGACTTTGACAGGACAATCCAGAGACACCGACAAGACACCGAGGGGCTGAGTATGTACAGACACTAACAAGGTGAAAAGAAAACACCTGTGGTGATTAGGATCAGACACAGGTGCAACAGTGCTGGAACACAGTGAGAAACACTGAGGGGTGACTGGTAAAACATGAGGGAAAACACAACAAGCAAGTCGTCAATGTCCCCCCATCGCTGAGGGATATGAAAAGTGAATGTTTGTTGTTTTGGAGATGAGTGTTTTTCTGGACAGGGAATGAATGAAATTCATTTCAGTTTATTTATTTAGTGCCAAATCACAGCAGAAGTTGTCTCAGGACACTGAACAGAAACATTCACATAGATACAAAAACCAATTAGTAAAGTTCTCAATCTAAGGAAGCCAACAGACTTGTAATGTAAACCTAAATGTTTTTGGGGCAAGATATCTAAAAGGGTAGAATAGAGGGGAGTTCTTTTTTTCGTTCACAGTGCAACTACTACCCACCTGAACGTCTTACACCATAAAACTTTCATTGGTTTGTTTGCATTTCCTGTTCAGCTGTAGTCCAGAACAACACGCATCTCTTAAACTACCAATAAATAAATACATAAATAAAATAAGGATGATGCATGGACAACAAAAGAGAAGAAACAGGTTTTAAAGGGAAACTATTGCAGAAATGACACTTTGGGAGAGTGTGGGAGAGTGTGGGAGGGGCAGGAGCAGAAACTAAATGAGGGCTAAAAATGATAGAGCCTCGTGGATGAAAACCAGGAACTAAAGGACCAAATTCATCTATTTGAAAAGCTTAAGGATGAAATTGCTTGGCTCAAATCATAGTGTTTTTACCGTGACAAAACCAAATGATTTTCACCTTTCTCCTTCTAAAAACATAAAATCTGACTTGAGCGACCCCCCCCCCCCCCCCCCACACACACACACACACACACACATACCCATACACACACTTTATCTCCTCCTTGAATCACCACCTTGTCGTAGTTTGTGCACCTGAATGATCCTAGCAGCTACGCTGTCTGGGTCAGTTGTAATTGCCCCTGGTAGGGTCCCAAGGCAGATTGGTTCTAGGTGGCAGGCCAGACAAAGAGCGATTCAGAAGATTTATATGGACAAAAGAAAACAAGGAACTCAGTGTCCCTTGCCCAGATGTAGTTTACCAGGGTTCCATCCTGGAACCAGGTCTGGGGGGAGGGACTCATCGGTGAACGTCTGGTGACCAGGTCTCTACCCATGGGGTCTGGTTGGGCTCAGCCTGAAGAAGTAACATGGGTTTGCCTTTCTGTGGACCCACCACCTGCAGGAGGGGCAATACAAGTCGGATGCATGATGCATGTGCAGTGGCCAAAGGCGGGGACCATGGCGATCTGACCATGGCTTACCAAAGCTGGCTGGAAGGAGCCTGAGCTTGTGCATGAGATTGATAGGTACTGACTAGATATAGCTGGGCTCACCTCAACGCTCAGCATTGGCTCTGGAACTGATCTCCTTGAGAGGGGCTGGACCTTATTCCACTCTGGAGTTGCCGATGGTGAGAGGTTCCAAGCTGGTGTGGTTCTACTCTTAGCCCCCCGACTTGGTACCTGTTTGTTAGAGTTTTCTCTGGTAGATGAGAGGGGAGCTTCCCTGCGCCTTCGGGTGAGGGGACGGGCTCTAATTGTTGTTTGTGCCTATGCGCCAAATGGCAGTTCTGAGTACCCGGCCTTCTTGGAATCCTTGGTGGGTGTGCCAGAAGGTGCGCCGGCTGGGGACTTCTTTATTCTGCTGGGGGACATCAATGACCACGTGAGTGACCTGGAGGGGCGTGATTGGGAGGAACAGCTTCTCTGATCTGAACTCGAGAGGTGTCCTGTTGTTGGACTTCTGTGCTAGTCATAGTTTCTCCATCACAAACACCATGTTCAAGCATAAGGGTGTCCATAAGTGCCCTTGGCACCAGGACAGCTAATCAATTGTAGATGTACATTAAAAAAATCCTGAATGTTTCATTGCATTCCATGCAGGGGTCCATGAGATATTTTGCTAACAGAAAGACAGAGTTGACTCCAAACAGTTTATGGCATAGTTTTTAACAAAGATCTTGTTCAACTTTTAATACTTGGAATATTTATTGGGGGTTAATCTCAGTTACTACCAAATTATATATTTGGTAAATATGTGTACAACTTGACAGTTATAACCATTTTAAACATATTTTTTAAGATCAGTGGTATATATGTGGCAGCCATCTTGTAGCTCTTTCTTGAGGTTTCATTAAAATGTTATTGCTCTAGCCTGTCAGCAGCACAGGCGGGTGATCATAAAACTACTTTAGTGTTGGCAGTGTTGAGTTGAAGGCATGAGTAGATCAGCTGAACATTCAACGTGCTCTTTTGTCGGGGCCAGTTTGACACAGAGCTGATTCAGGCCGACCGCGGTCAGTCTGATCTGCTGAAACACTCTGATCCCCATCTCAGAGAGGACGAGTGGCCTCAGCCTTCATCAGGAGCTGCAGCTGCTCAAACAGGAATACCACAAAGGTGTGCAGGAAAACCTGCTGTCATCACTGCACAAACACACATGTGCTGTATTTGCCATGAACATAAAGAGAAAAAATGCACATGACAAGACAGATGACAGGAAGAAAGACAGACTTTCTATAATGTGTTGAGTAAAGCAGTGCCACTACATGGATGTGGTCCAAATAAGTTAGAAAGCATCATCGTAGAGTTTATCGTTTTTCTTTTTTTTATTTTTTTTGCACCAAGCTTCTTCAAGTAGTTGCCACCAAGCTTGAAAGAAACAAGCCACAGAAAATACAACTCTCACCTCCCATGTCATAAATCCTCATCTCATTTTTCACAGAAAAAAAAGAAAAACTTTCCTCAGTAAGCAAAATTTGAGTTAAACCAATCCATGAATCTCCACTCTGCCACTGGGCTTTATTACAAAACAATCACTGGTCTATTTTAGGTGTAGCATAAAATAGAATGAGATGAGAAGAGAGAGGGGGGAAAAATCAATGAATAATTGATGAGTGTCAAATATACCCATAGCAGAAGGAGACTTAAAATATTTAATATCCCAAAATCTATCCGTTCTCTCCCTCCAGACTAACTGTCATGTTGAAATGTGTCGGCTTTGGACCAGGTTTTGTTCACACTGTCTGCTGATGAGGATCACAAGTGATTATAGATTATGAACAAAGGCACCAGATAGTAGAATCGAGAGAGAAAAACATCATCAGATTAAAATAAAACTGGCACAATTCTGACCCCATGAACTTGACGGGTGCCACTGTAGTCAAGCTGCAATGTCTATTTGAAAGTGACCAGTAATAAATCAGTCTAAATTCTCATCTCTCACAAAAGATGGAAACAATTTCAATACTGTGAAACGTAAAACAAGTTCAGCCAACGATATGGCTAAAATCTAACACTATTGACTTCTGGGGCCACGCATTGCAGAATAGACAAATATGTTTAGAAGATGGGCCTGTGATCGGAAAGTCGCAGGTTCACCTCCCGTTACCCTTAACATCAAAATGTGGGTGGAAAAGGTGAAACACCCACACCTGCCTCCACCCTCATTTGCCCCACTCTGGGGCTTGAGCAAGGCCCTTAACCCCCACCATCTGCTCCCTAAACAGGTCTCTCTGGAAAATGAGTTCTCGTGGCTCAATGAGACTACCTGTATAAATAAAGGGTAATTGAAAAAAAAATGTGATGTTCAAGTTTTTCTTACTTTTTGTGACAATTTCACGGAACACATGATGAAATATGACAAAATGAAAATATGTTTGACCGAAGTGTGTTATTCATGTTAGGTTATTACAATTATACATTACTTTAATGTGTTCACATTATTGACCGCTCAAAAAGGAAAAAAAAATATATCCCAATCCCAGCTGCCGAAACCCGGGATCGAACCAGGGACCTTTAGATCTTCAGTCTAACGCTCTCCCAACTGAGCTATTTCGGCGCTGATTCATCACTATTAACATTACTTTACTTAACCCATGCAAAGACAAAGTCAACGTTTCGGTGATTGTGAGATATAATTAGAGTTTATGAAAAATATTTTTTTGAAATGAAAACAAGGATTTAGCAAATGAAAGTATTCGTTTTTCGTGCGGAGCCTCCCTTTAACATTAGGTCACGTGACAGAATCGCGTGGAAACGAAACCAAAAGTTTTCAGGACTGAATCAGACACAGCCGCTTCTCGAAGTTGGTAAGTTTGATTTATTTCAAACGTTGCAAAAAAAAGCTTAATGTTCCTCTTTCGATTATTTATTATTTTAAATAGTTAACATGCAAACGTAAACGTTTTGAAAATGTAATCTGACAAGATCATTGGACTTTATTTAATAGACGTCTTTTGTAAAAGAAGAGAGACTGAACTGAAACGACGTAATAAAGGTTCCCCCTTGTCAGCCTAGACCTCTGGAACCATTTAAGCAAGTTTCTAAAAGTCCAATAAAATGAGGAAGCAACAACATATGAAGGGCAGGGCAAGTTTTTATTTTTTTATTCTTTTGTACACCGTAACACATAAACATACACATGAAAATAATTTAAAGAGTTCAAGTTCAAAGTTCTTTACTGTCGTTCACATCACATGTGGTACATGAGGTGGAACTAAATTATGTACTCAGGGTCCCAGTTACACCCCAAAATTTCAAAAATATAAAGTATAAAAAGATACAGTATAAGGATGTAAGATATACACTAAGCTATGCGCTAAACAATGCTAAATGATACATTAAAAGATCTAAGATATATGTTAAACACTATAATGTAAAACATCACGGCATAACAACATGAGTCTGTGCTGAGCAGATGGATATGAATACAGCAGCATGAGATCAGCAGCATGGATAATCAGCAGCACAGATAAGTTTCATATCACCAGTTAAAGTGGCATTACAGTGATTATTATTATTATTTATTTTTTTTACAAATATTTAGTTAAATATAATATGGCAAAAAAAAAAGAACAGATCAAAAGATCAAAGTTCTTGCTCAATAATCCAGGTAAAAATCCAACAAAGTTCAGTCAGGTCATCTGGACGGTTTCTTTTTCCATTGTTTTTTATTTTGCTGAGACATTTTATGGACTTCATCAATCCGAGGAGCCACAAATAAACTCAGTCCCACAAGCAACACACTCCCATAGTGGACCAACCAGTTTGCTGGTGATAAGAGGGTTTCTGGGGCCCGCCCTCTCCCCCGTCGACTCCTCTGAGGCAGCCGTAGCCAAAGGAGAAGAGGGCGGGCCCCGGAGACTTATCTTATCTTTGTTGTGATTTGGCGCTATATAAATAAACTGAATTGAATTGAACACAAAGTTTGTTTTCTCAGTCATCCAGGTATATAACAACAAAAA